CACATTAGCTCTTTTTAAAAATCAACTTTTTAAAAACTGTATTGTTTCTAGATTGCCTCACACTCACCCTTCGAAACAGCTGAATTCGATTTGTGATCCAAAAGAGTAATCTGTCTTAATGATCACTTGCCCATTATGTAATTCTCCTGGGTTGCTGCATTGTCTCTCTGAGAGAAAATGTAAAATAAGGATTAATAATTTCAGTTACTCACAAATATGGCATTAGAAAATTTGATCTCTGCTTTTAGAAAGACCAGAGGTTCAGATTCAAACTTATTTCTGATCCTGACTCACTGAAGTTTTATTTTTGAGGATAAATGAATCCAAAAAGTGATCTCATTTTTTCTGGTATCTTTTACCAATAGAGAAAAATGGTCAGTTAAATCACTATGGTAACGAAGTTTATGGTTCAGGATTTAACACACTCACCAGGAGGTTATGCTCCATTCTATGTCTGCGGCACGCACTTTGCACTTAGGCCACTCAAACATGCATGTCCTTGGCCACAAAAAGAACAAGAAAAAAAAAGTGTAGCTTGTACACCCTTCCTATTGGAAAACATCACAGAATATGTTCTCAACTGAGGGAGAATCATAACATCCTCTTCCAAACACAGCAAACAGTTTGGGTGAGGTTCTTTGGAAACTGCATTTCTACTTTCTAGCCATATAACTTTTTATAATTTTACAAAAAGTGAGTCTGGTTTTCAATATATTAAAATTGAATTTGTAGTTAACTTCTGAAAGGAGTGTTTACTGAATTACGTTGCAAATAAGAGACTTATTTTTCCATGCAACTGGGTAGCTTCTAATTTTTCTTTTTTATTTATTTGTTTGTTTGCTTGTTTATATTTTCCAAAAAGTGGTACACATGTATACATTGAAATCAGTCACTGACAAACTGGGTGGTTTCTTAGTAACCAAAGATTCTCATTTGCATTCAGAAAATTTAGCTCCTGAATTTGCAAAAAGGGGATAAGTACAAATAAGAAAAGTAAATGCTCATACTTACTGACACAGAAGGTAATATAGTACCACCTGCCTCCTTTCTCACAGATAAGATACTGATGTTTTGAACTGGTCCTACTGTAGCCAGGGCGGCAGTTGTATTTCAGAGTAGTTCCAGTTTTAAAGCTTGTCTCATTGAGCACACTTGCTGGAGCAGCAAACTGTATATCGGGTGGTAAACCACAATCACCTGGACATGAGAATGACAAAGAGCACCAAGAGTTATAGCTTGGGGCTAGCACCTGAATCTTTTCAGTAGTACGATTTTAGAGAAAGAACCATTCTTTTCTCCTCTAATCCAGAAAAATAATAACTCCTACTATCTCCATTGTTCAATGAACCTAGTGAGTGATCAGTAGTACATGTTTGTTGATAAATGATAATGACAATGATAATGATAACTGATAATGATGAAAGGCAGAAATTTTGCATGCTTTCTCCATCATATAGGAGATAGTTTATTTTAAAAGGATGGCAGACACAATTTCATCAGCCTATCAGAATTCCCTTATCTGCTGACTAGATGCATCTGTGCAAAGCCAGAAGTCTACAATTTTCCTCAACTAAAACATAGTATTTCATTAATAATAACTTTATGTAACATTGGTTGCCTCAGAAAAGGGAAACTGGGTGGCTGGGATATGAATAAAAACAACATTTTTAATTCGTGTTTTTTTATATCTTTTGGATTTTGAATGATATGAAGGAAGAAGCATGAAGGCCCTTGAAATGTAAAAATCTTAATCCTGCTTTCCTTGTAAGAATAAAAAGGATCAAATATATGGTGATAGAAAGAGAACTGAATCTGGTGGTGAACACACAATGCAATGATGTATCAGAGAATTATATACCTGAAACCTATGTAACTTTGCTAACAATTGTCACCCCTATAAACTTTAATTAAAAAAAAAAGAATTAAATACAGAACCTATTTTTCTTTCAGGAACCCCAGTAGTTGTAATATACTTCCCCTCTCCATTCTGGATAAACCCTCTGGCAGTGAAAATTGTTTAGCCAGGCTCATAGATAATACAGGTTTGTTTCAAGTCATGATTGGGAAACAAGTTGGAAAATTTCTGGAGAAGAAATCTAAAGGGAAGTGTCTAGAAAACTGACTATTTTATGGGTAAAGCAACTTCCCCCTAAATTCCAAATAATTTCAAGTCACCTTAAATGCCAAATTTCAAATAAATTTCTCATTCCTGGTCAAATAAACCCTTTGTTACTGAATCTGTCTGCTAAGAGCTTAATCATTTCTTTGTTAGTCCCAAAAATGAACAAGTGGATCATCTTGAATGTTTGTTGCCAATCTGAACTTGTCTCCCTGTTACTCACCAAGAACAGTAGCCAACAGAGCAGCAGCCAAGGTCACTTGGAACAGCATTGGATCAGAGTCTCTCCACAACCTGGAGAGGGGCCAGGCTGTCATTTTCCCCTTTCTATCAAGGGTCCCATTTGGATGTCTTGGAGTGTACATGACCCGCTGCTTCTCCAACATTTTTCTGCTGAAAGAACTCAATTTAATAAAGTCATTGAATTCCCACTTGTCATAAAGCACCAGGATAAATGTTATGGAATCTAGGTCTTCAAGGGAATTAAAGCCTAGAGTGGAAGAAAAGACATGAGCACAACTGTTATAACACAAGAGAGAGAGTGTTAGCCTTTGTGGGAGCACTTTGCTCAAAAAACAGATGAATTCCAAGTGGAGAGATGGGAGGTGAATGTATCTATGTTAGGTATGCTGAAAAAGTTAGAAAATGGATGCAGGGTAAATCGGGGAAAGAGTAGATAATACTGTGCAGGAAAATAAAGTGTCTGCAATGGGGAGATGGTTGTTAAGGAGGGTGCAGCTCATAGGTGTGTCTGAACGGGATGCAAGGGCCAAATTCAGGAATTTATAAACACTGCTCTTTGGGGAATAAAGAGCCATTGTTTTTTGTTTTGGATTTTGTTTTCAGTTAAGTTTGTTTTAAGTTAAGGAGTGACACATTATTGGGATTTAAGAAGATCACTATGGCAGAAGTGTACCTGACAGATTGAAGTGAACAGAGGCAAGGAACAGGGAGGTTGATTAAAAAGGCTATTGCAATATGCCAGGTGAGCCACAGAGATGATCTGACCAAGGAAATGGTAGAGGAGTTAGAGAAGAGGGAACAAATGTAAAAAAAAAACAAAAAAAAACAAAAAGGCAAGAAAATAATTAGATGGGGAAAAGGACCTGCATCACTCTGGGAGCTCCTCATGACAACTGTCAGCTGAGGTGATAAACCATCAAGCAATTTACAGTTTTGAAATTTACAGTTGTATATGTATATGTATATGTATATGTATATGTATATGTATATGTATATGTATATGTATATGTATATAAAGTGCCAAAAATGTATACACATTTTAAGAAAGGAAAACTATATTAAAATTGTAATCCTTAATATATTTACTGATAACAAAAGATGAATACAAGTCATGTTTGACTTCTGCAATTACAAGAGGTGTTCAAAGTGGTTACTGTCAGTGTCCAGACCTTCTGATTATGGCGAACTACTTCTTGACCATAACACCTTTCTCTCTCTCTCTCCATTATATATGCACATACACCAGGGGTGTCAAAAAAAAGTATACACATGGACACTTTGGTCAACATTGCTCAAGCAACTTTTTAGAAGCCAAACGTGACTTGTATTCATCTTTTGTTACTGGTAAATATTGAGTACAATTAACACAGTGTTTTCCTTTCTTAAAATGTGTATACACTTTTTGGCACTGTGTGTGTGTGTGTGTGTGTGTGTGTGTGTGTGTGTGTGTGTGTGTATGGTGAGAGAGAGATCTATATATGTAGATATATACATATATAAAAAGAAAAACATACATGATAAATGTACTTTCATTATTTACTTAGACTAAAGACTTGTTTAAAGCAAAATCATGATCATGAAAGATAGTTTTCTCTTCACCACCACACCTGTTTCTTTTGGAAAAAACAATATCTTAAATTTACATTAGAAATAGTCCTTGTCCTCAAAGGAAAACACAAAGTTCACTCTCAATGGAATGTTGAATTTTATCTTTTATTCTGATAACTCCATTAGATCCAGATGATTCTGCACTCCCCATCTGTCCATAATTCATACTAAGCACATATCCATTTAGATAAAGGGAGTCACCTCAATATTTCCCTCAAAGATGTTTCTGTCCCACACAATAGGGGGAAAAAGCTTATAGTGGCCCTTCACACTATGTGGAGGGGTCTAACTTCTTCACTAAGTAATGGCTCATAGAATCTTATTGTTCTAAAATTCCATTCTGATGAAGCCATTCCTCCACCACTTGTCAGTTGTGGGTACATCCACCCATGCACATTTGATCCCATGAACTCTACACATGGCCACCAAGACAAGTCTGCCCCCAAATAAATTCAACCTAATGGACAATTTATCAAATGTATGTTTTTACTAAAATTGTGTTTACAGAATTTGTACTGAATGAATTGAGGTGTTCTTAAAAAGGTTGGAAGGAGCCAGGACCCACATTTGGGGCCTTCACACACCCCCTTTCTTTTCTTTAATTTCCTGGCATATCCCTCCCAATTCCAAGTCTCTGTCCTCCTGCCCTAGCAATCTGATGAGACTGGAGACTGTTGCGGTTAAGGCAAACTCCACAGAATAAAAACCCACCCATTAAACCATCTGTGAAGTTTATAAAATATGATAAATTTCAATAAAAATTGCTATGAACTATTAAAAAACTATAGAAATAAGTTTATTTAATTTTTGATAAGTCAGTAGATTTGGCATGTTTATTGGATTTCCGTGAAATTGAAGAAAGAGATTTTAAAACACCAACATGTCAGCAAAATAGAATTTCACTATAAAAAAATCAAGAGGATAAGAGTATAAAGTGAACATTTTCCATATGAATTGTTGCAATTGTTATTACTGTATATTCACAAGAAAAAACTATATACATTGAATCTATGCTGGAAAATATTCATGAGTATATTTATAAAAATATAGCCATAAGATTAAATCCTTACCTTTAGGAAATTGAAGAAAAGTAATTAAAATGCTGCTACAAAGAACATATCCATTAGCTATGTGCAAAAAGAATATATAATTATTGAATATATTCAATAAATGCTTCTTAAAACAATGTTAAGTAAACTGATAATTTGACAAATTCAGTAAATTGACTTCAGTGAATTGGCATTCGTTCAATTGGTTTCTGGTGAATAACTTTTCAGTAGTTTGGTCCAAGCCCTGTGCATCAACTGGCCAGGCCAACCTAGATCCCCAACAGTTCCAAACACTTTCACCCCTCCTACCCTGCCCATAGCCTGTGCCCCTTTGCCCTTTCCTCTTTCATTCTTACTCATTGTCCAATGTCCCCTCTTGTCCTCCAGGCCAGTTTCCATATTCCAATTACAACTTAGTGTTTATAATTCTGACTCTGACTTAGCTTATAACTAGCAACTGAAATCTGTCTTCACTACTTGAAGTCAGAGGGTGGGTTCTTATTCATCTCTGCCCACCCGCCATAGCACCTAGCATTGTGCCTCACACACAGTTAAAGTGCTCAATATATATTTGTTGAATTTAAATTCAAAAGCACCTAGGGACAAAATCTGGTTTAAAGAAAAAGAATACAGTTCGTGTCCATATCTACTCTTACAGTGTTTGTCTTGTCAAGGTCAGGTTTTAACTGACTTTAGAGCAAGGCACACCTGTATCTTAATGAGCATGAGCCCTAGTGATTTTACTCGAGGCTCTTTTCCATCCGTAACCTGAAGTCACCATATAATCAGCCAGCCAACACAGGACAGTAAAGCGGTATGGAATAAACAAAAACTAGTGCTCCTCCCTTCTCAGGTTGTGACAAGAGGTAAAAGGCAGCCTCACATACAAAACCTACACTGTGAGAAGGAATATGTATCACTCAGCCTCACATCAAGGCCACAGACACAGGACAACAGTATGTGGCCAGGCCCTGGGGTATGGACCCTGGAGGGTTCAGCCCTGGTGCCACCACATGAGAACTATGTGCCCCTGGACCAGATACTCAGCACTCTAAGCTCCTCTAAGCTTCCATTTTATTTTTTACAAAATAAGAATAATAACTACCTGTGTCCCAGGATTGCTGAGATGGAGCTGGGCTTGATGCATGAACAGCACTTAGTAAATATTCCCAAAAAAATGTTAGGGAAGAGAGTTGCAATGTGACCCTGACAGGACCAGAACTCGTAGAGTCAAAGCATCATTATAATAATGATGTAAAATTGTAATGATGGCTGAATCACCAAGATACTTTAAGCCCTGGTACAGAGGAAAGTCCACGGGCAGTGCCACAGCCAGAGCAGAGACTCTGGTGCCCATGGAGTGAGGGTCGGGGGTGGGGGGCTGTCTTGGGCTTCTTTCCTCACTCTTAACTCATCTAACTTTCCTCACTCTTAACTCATCTAACTTTCCTCACTCTTAACTGTCTTCATGCGAGGAGCTCACCTGCCCCACCACTTTGACCATCATCCATGAATCACTCACAGGCCTCTGGGCCTAACTGTCTCCTGTAGGTACAAAACCTTACATGCTCCATGAACTCAATTGTTAATAAAAATCTTACTCTGCTCTATTACTTCCCATATGTAAATGTTGAGCTATTCAGGGCTTCTTCCTTTAATCTTATTGCTAACTACAGAAATTCCAGTGCTCAACCTGAAAATTATGGAAGTTTTAAAAGTCAGTGAAAGAAATCTCAGCAAAATAAGAAAGAAATACTTTCTCTTCCCCTGCAGCTGCAAAAAGCAGATATGGACACCATAAAGCTGACCTTGCAAATATTATTTCTTAAAAAGGAGATGTTCTTGGACTTTAGAGATTGTAGCTTTCCCTCCTGAACATAATAACCCTTAACCCTGGAAAAGTCTATAATTCTGACTGGTTAACTCAGCAAATTGTTTTTTGCCTGGGATGTTTAAATTAAAATTTGTGTTTTTCCAGGGTATTCATATTTGTGAGCTTTCTTTGCAAATCCAGAAATAAATTATTATACTTTCTTCTTCACTTGCAATCCTGAAAGTAAGCTAAAACTTTTGACTCTGTTGTATTTTTTTTTAATTTCAGCTTTATTGGGGTATAAGTGACTAAACTGAAAGTTATTTAAAGTGTACATCATAGTGATTTGATATGTATACTCTGACAGGACCAGAACTCTTAAAGTCAAAGCATCATTATAATAATGATGTAAAATTGTAATGATGGCTGAATCATCAAGATACTTTAAGCCCTGGTACAGAGGAAAGTCCATTGGCAGTGCCACAGCCAGAGCAGAGACTCTGGTTGTGAAAAGATTCCTCCCCACTATCTACTTAATTAGCACATTCATCACCTCACCTATTTGTCATTTTTGCTGGCAAGAACATTCAAGTTCTACTCTCATAGCAAAGCTTAATTATACAACAGTGTTATCAACTGTAGTCACCATGTTTTACATTAGATCCTCAAACCTTCTCCATCTTATAGCTAAAAGTTTGTACCCTCTTACCAAGCACCCCCATTTCTTTCTCACCCCCAGCCCTGGCAGCCACTTGTTAGATTTCTTATTTAAGCAAAAAACCCTTTTCTTTAAAAAAAATTTAATGGGCCGGCCGAGTGGCACGATGGTTAAGAACTGGCTTGGGACACCAGAGGGCCCCGGTTCAGATCCCACATATGAGGGCCAGTGACACTGCCCTCCACAGCTAAGATGCTGAAAAACAGCTCAACCTGGAGCTGGGCTGCCGTGAGTTGCCGACCACGGCAGGTGGGTTGCCATTGGCTATGGTGTGTAGCCAGCAGCCAGCATGAGTGGCGACTGATCTGCCTCACCCTGGTAGAGTGTAATGATGGTGCCAACTTGGGCCAGTGAAGCAACGTCCTTCACAACTAGACTGAAGAACAAAATGACAGCAACTTGTCTGTTCCCCTTCCCCCAATTCCCCAGCACTGTTCCCATCCCCCCAATTCCCCAATAAAAATCTTTAAAAAAATTTTTAAGTTAAAATTTCCACAGTTTAGATTAGTATTTTCAACTGCTTCATTTCTATTTCCCAGGGACCTTTAATTCAACAGATTCCAAACTAAATGCACTATCTTCCTTTCAACACTATGTGACCTCTGCACTTTCTGTTTCAGCTAAAGTAATAATCTCCACCAGACTCCCAGACTAGAAACCTGAATCATCCTAGCCTCCTTTATCTTGGCCCCTTTCCATATTCAGAGTCATGGAGTCTGATCACTTTGGCCATAGCAGCATTAGAATCTGTCACTCTCTTCTACACCCCAGCCTAGACCATGGCAAAAGCCTCCAAACATTTGTAAACCAGCTTCCACACTGATCTGGTTATAACCCTATAAAGCAATTGACTTAAAAACCACCATGGTTCTCAATTCCCTACATTCCATACTTCTCCCTTTGCTTCTGCTCATTTAAAACACCATGCTTCAACTTCATAAAAATGCTTACGTTTCCTAAAACACATCCTGGAATTTTTTTAAACACCTGCAACTATTGGGTTGTTGGAAAAGTCATGACGTATTTTTTTCTAAGTTTTTCGTTGCAAAAATGCATCATGACTTTTCCGACAACCCAATATTTGCACAGAACGTCTCTTGTGCATGAATGCTCTTACCTCCAACCTCCAAATCAAATGTCACCTCCTCGGTGAAGAATTGCCCAATACCACCAAGAAATGTCAGTCTCTTCTATGCTCCCCTAGTACTTCTCTGATGCAATAATTGTAACACCACAGTGTATCATAGCTTTCTATTCACTTTTGCCTCCTGAGAGAGATTGTAGGTCCCTTGAAGACAAAGAAGGTGTTTATCCAACTTTCTAGTCCTAACCTGCTATCGTAACTGGCATATAACAGTTATCTAATAAATGAAATTCAATTTAGTTTTACCCTCTTAAGAATGACTAACTGCCTTACTGAAGACCAAATGAAATAATGTGTGTAAAGTGCTTTGTAAAATTTGAAGCGATGATACATTGATTTAACTTCCTTTACTAGTTCTCAGGATGTATGGTGGCTCAGTGGGCCAGGTACAACATTTGTGATTCACCATCGTACTTCTTGTGGTTTCGCAGCAGAACCTACACAGAACTCAACAGACCACAGAGTGTGGAGATGAAGGATAGGGCTTCTAAGTTGAGAGGACCTGAGTTTGAGTCCCAGCAATGCCATCTTCAAATTCTCTGATCTCGAAGAAGCTACATCAGCTCCTTGTATCTCAGGTTTTCATCACTAAAATGATGACATTAAACTTAGACCATCTTTCTATTCCCTACAAACACTAGAATTCTGTAACTGCCCACTGAAAAGCTACGACTTTCCTAACAAATGCCCTCATCTTTCAATGACATCATCATTTTTTAAATTCCTTTGGAAATGAAACCAACTCAAGAGCCATAGTCTACATAGTGGGTCTCTTGTAAGTTAATCAGCACTGGCCAATTTGAGAGGCACCGGGAGAATCCTCAGTCCCAAATTTCTTCTTCCATTAGAGATTACTTTTTGAGTGAATGTATTTATTTTATCTAAACTTTCCCTTTTAAAATTCAGATGTCTTTGTAAAAAAGTGATATCTTTTTTCAATCCCAGGCGTAGTGTCTCCTTACTTACACCTACACTCTCAATCACATCACTTTCAGACTCCGAAAAAATACTTGCTTCCACACTTTCCTCTCCCTTCCTAGAATTTATCTATCAGCTCCTTCCACCTGGGCTCATATTCAATTGTATCTTTACACTTGATACCAACCTTCTTAGATGCTTCTTCCTCTTCCAGAGTCTCTCCTTTTCATTCTCTTTGTACTGCTACATTTAGGGACAAAACAGGAGTCAACAAAAAGAAAAGTGGCTGAAGAATTGAAATGAGAACCAGAATAGTACTAGGTCTTGCCCAACCAAGAAGAGAATTTCAAGAAGAAATGGTAATCAACATTGTCAGATTCGAAAAGCGAGGGATAGAAAGGAGATGAGGTTGACTAAGGCTTCTACCTTCAGAAACTAACTGGAGACTGACCAACGTCCTCCTTATTATCAAACCTAAAGGTCTTTACTGTCAATGGTGAAGGAGACGTGGAGGGGTTAATGAACTCTCCTAAGGAAATTGCATCAATTTTCAGATTGTAGACTATGAAAACTAAGTCTCCTTTGAACCCATTTGGAAAGCCTGGCTTACCTCCTGCCTCAAATCCCTTACACGGAGAGATGATTGAAAAAACAACAACAATAAAAAACAAACAAAAAAAACACAATAAACCAACACACTCAACTTTTAGATACAATAACAAGAGCAGCATTTTACTTCTTTTCTGTTTCAGTTTATTAGGGTGCATTATTATTCCCTCATTTATAATTTTTAAAAAATTGAGGATCAGAGGGGTTAAAAGTACTCTTCAAGTCATGCTACGCCCGAATGTAGTGCTCCTGAAAAGATTTCTGCTGAAACATCCCCAAGTTTTTGTCTGGGTCTTATCCTTCTAATCTTGCACTCCTCAAAGGGCCAAACCACCAGCCTTTCCCCCAAGGTCTCCCAAGTGATCCACTGACCTGCGTGTAGCTGATGAAGAAAGAAGTAGAAGACTTTATCACGGAGCGTTGGGTAGTTTTTCAAGAAAGAAAACTGCCTTGGTCTCTAAGAGTCCTAGCTCCTCCCCAGATATAGGTTTACCAGAAATCCCTAGAGTTGGCTAGTAATTGCTCCACCAAAAAATCCCGAATTGCAGTCAAGTGGTTGGCTGATCAGGGATGGCTAAATAAAAATGAGTGGGCAGAGACTCTCTACTGGCCCCGTAAATGATTAACAGCAGAAATATAGCACCACTGTTTATCTAATCTTCTTCCTCTTCACCAGCCCTCATTCTTGATAACATGTTGCAATCATTTATTTTTCTCCTCTGCCAACCATTTCCCCTAAGTGGAAAAAAATAATATAAATTTGATGCCAGAAGTTTTTTTTTTTCTTTTCATAAGTACAGGAAGATTGTACAAGATGCGATCCAGCTAACCTGGAAACTTTGGATACTGCAGGGTTCAGACTAGGTTCACAAACATGATCTAATTTCTTTAAGTCCAGCAGGCTTTCATGGCAGCTCAGAGAACTATGGATAACCTGGCCCTGTGCTGGTCTCCACCGCACCCCAAGAAAATACAAAAGGTGAGGAGTTCAACATGTTTACTGAGTTCCTGCTATGTGCCAAGTTGCCTGGAACAATATTAGTACTTAGTAAATGTTAACTACTACCACCACCCCTACTACTAAATGCTGGGCACCAGATGACCTCCAGAAGTTAGCCTATCACTGCATGCTGCTCAGAAGAATGTAATGATGGACCAGCCATGTTTGTTATCACATAAATCTAGAAAGGATCCTAAACCCTGACATTATCAATTAAGCTATTAATCATCAGGATTAAGGTTGGGTGCTCAGGAAATTGCTATTAAAAACCAAGTTCTTCCTGATAACTTCACTTTTTCTGTAATGAACACCAAAAGTCTCCTAAAGATTTCAGAAAAGAAGGAGTTGAACCACAACAGAACTTTTGACAGAGATATGACATTTGGGCTGGGTTTTGAATGAAAAGTGGAAATTATTATATGAAAGTGAGCAATTAGAGGTAAAAAGAACATGGGCCAAGCCACAAAGGTAAGGCTGAGTGTAAAGGAGGATTCCATTGCACAAAATTTTGAGAGAGTTGAGATAGAGGAAATACCGTCTTAAAGTTGGGTCTTCAAAATACCATTTCCTGATCTATTGGAGTCCTTTATTTTCCATAGTGACTGTTCCAAATTTTTCCCCCCAAGTCACCAAATTTTCTTCCTCTCAGCGAACGACCTTGCCTCCTACTTTGCTAAAAAAAAAAATCATTCTACATTAGCTTCTCTCCACCTCAAGTTTTCTCTACTATTCACCCTTGTTTCAGAAGAGAATTGTTTGCTCTTTTCCTTATTTTCAATGCCTTTCATCCTGAAATGTTCCCTCAACCTTGATGAAACCTCAAATTCCATTTTTCTTCTATTGTTGAACTTCTCAAGAGGCTCCTATGTTTCCTGCCTACTCTTTCTCATTAATCACTCCACACCCCTCCTTTTTGTGGTCTTCCAATCTGGCTTCTTCCCACCCTTGCTGACAGACTTCTTTGAGGCATGCCCTTGTCTCCAAATCCAAAATTTCTTTAACTCATTTTTTATGATTCCTTAGCAGCCTCGAATACTGCTGATCATCTCCTTTCTGAAACTCTTCTCCATTGGCTTCCATTATCCTAAACTTTCCTGATTCCCCAATCTTACTAATTGCTCTTTCTTGGTTGTTGTTTCCTCCTCTTCCTCCTCTTCATACCTAAATATACCCCAGGTTCTTCTTTAAAAATTTTTTTTCTTCACATCTTTAATTATCTTACCTGCTCTCATGGCTTAACTATTCCCTACAAGAGAACTACTCCATAACTACATCTCCCTCTTTCTGATTACTATCCTAAATGCAGACTTGCTTTTGTTGTTGTTGTTGGTCATTGGACATCTCTCAAGCACCTTATGCTCAGCACACCCAAAGGAGAACTTCTCGTTTTCTGCCAAAAAGTCTCATCTTCTGACCCTCACATTAATCCAGGCTACCAGGAATGAAATTTCAGGCTCACCTTTAAATCCTTCTATGCCCTCATACTCCAACTTTCAATTAGTGAACAAGTTGCTTTTATTGGATTTTGCAATATCCTTCATGTCTGCTGTTTCTTTTCTATTTCTATTACCATCAAGCCAGGCATCATTGTCGCTCATGTGGACTATTTCAGTGCCCTTTCAGTGGATTCTCTGTCTCAGTTTTTTTTCCTACTTCCACCTATACTATTGTACCTACTGTTGTGAGAAAAATATTCTATGTTCTGTCCTCATCAATTCCTTCTTGAAAGTCTTCCATCTCTACTCACTAACTACCAGATAAATTTTAAATTTGTTTAACATACCCTTTAAAGCCCTCTATAAACTCATTGTACAGTCTCTTTCTAGCTTTTTGTCTCATCACTTTCCAGGCTTTATCTAGGTCAATTCAGGCTATGTGCAATTCCCTAAACATGCCCCATCTTTGTTGCCTCTTCAGAGCACCTCTTTAAAAAATTATTATTAAAAACTCAATTTAAAGCACTAAAGAATTTTAAGAGAATCAACATCTGTAATTTCACCATTTCACGAGAAGTGTTTTCATCTGTGCTTAGTATTGCCTCATCCTTTTCTACAAGAATAAAGGTTTTAATAAATGTAAACATAAGTACTTGTTAGCCTGTATCCTATTTTTACTTAAGAGTGTATATTTAAGATTTGTGTTCATAATTGTCACTGTAAAAGGCTGCTTTATGTTTGATGTACCATAACTTTTTTAAAATTTCCAAAGATTGGACATTTCAAATGCCCACAAGGTCTTGCTAGTGTAGACAGTACAGGCAATAATATAATGAATAGCTTCAAATCAAAAATCATTTCGCTCAAGTTAGATTAATCCTAAGAGTGGATTTACTTGGTTAAAAAGCTCATAACTTTCTTACTACATTTCTCAAATCTTCTTTCCACTTGGAATATCTCCTCCCTAATCTTTATCTCTAACTCCTACTCACTTTTAAAGGTTCAAATAACTATGACCTCTTCCTTGACAATTTTCCTGCCTCCTCCTCCCAGGCAGAAGTCATCCTGCTAACTAACATCTGAGCTCCCATAGCATACTGTTCTGTGAAAGGTGTTTATTTCATCCTAACCACCCTGATTTAATCAATTATATATGTATGTATTGGGTCGTCGGAAAAGTCATGACGTATTTTGTCTTTGTTTTTCAAAGGCCATTTATTTATATAAAAAAACAAAGATCAATCAATGATATATTGCCCGTTATGTTCAATCATCTTTTGCTATCTTTCAGTGAGCTTCATAATTCCTCATTCATAGAAGGACCTGTCTTTATTTGTGAAAAACTGAACAAAGTGCTGATTTACAGTCTCATCTGAATTGAACGTTATACCACACAAGGAGTTTTGAAGACAGCAAAACAAGTGGAAGTCAGGCGAGTATGGTGGGTGTGGCAACACATCCCATTCAAGCTTCAATAATTTTTGATGGGTGATCAAACTGGTGTGTGGTCTTGCGTTGTTGAGATGGAACACAACTCCTTTACAATTAACAAGCTCTGGATGTTTCTGAATGATGGATTCATTCAAACTGTCCAATTGCCAAGAGGACACATTTGAGTTGATTGTTTGGTTCCTTGGTAGGAGCTCGAAAAACACGACACCTTTAAAATCCCACCACACTGAGAGCATAACCTTCCTCTGATGAATATCTGCTTTCGATGTCGTTTAAGGCGAATCATCACGTCGGGACCAAGACCTTTTGTGCACCACATTGTTGTAAACAATCCACTTCTCATCACCAGTTATCAGTCTCTTCAAAAAAGGATAGTTTTCCTCACATTTAATGAACATATTGCAGATGTTTAGATGCGCCGTCAAATGAACTTCTTTGAGTTCATGCAGAACCCAAATATCGAGCTTGCTTGTGTATCCCAGCTTCTTCAGGTAGTCGTGAATGCTTGCATGATGGATGTTCAATGTTTCTGCAATCTCTCGTGTTGTGTAACGTGGGTTTGACTCGATCAATGCCTTTATTTTGTCGTCATCAACCTTGGTGGGCCTCCCTGACCAAGGAGTGTCATTGAGATCAAAATCACCAGCACACAATTTCGTGAACCATCATTGGCACCGAGGTTCTTGTAAAGCATTGTTGCCATAAACTTTATGCAACTTTTCACAAGCTGGAGGAATATTCTTCCCTTTATGGAAGTAAAACAGTAAAATATGGCAAAAATGTACAGTTTGGTCTTCCATCTTCAACTTGTTGTAAAATCTCCAAAACTCAATCAAATTGCTCAATTCTTTTAGAATGAAGCTAGAACTGTCAGCTGTCGAATGACATAGCAATAACATAGATGTGATGACTCTAGCACTTCCAAAAATGAACTAGTGCCATATGTCTCAAACATGCATCATGGCTTTTCCAACAACCCAATATCTATATACTGGCAGTGCCTATCTTAAAATGCGTATACATTTTTTGGCACCCTCTATATATCTACATATGCAAGTCTTGTGTCTATTAATGGAATGTGGGTTACTTCAGAGTCCATCAGTTATTCTCCTTTGTAACTTCACCTAGAGATTTTTCTATTATTTCAAGCTCTTTTATGTATTTTCTTTGTATTTTGCCCAGTTTTCCCACGTGTTTTAAGTAAAGGTCAGAGTGTAAGATGGAAGAAGCTTGTCATATCAGCTCAGTGTGACATCTTAACAGGAAAATCTTGGGATTCTTGTGTCTTCTGCACTCAAAAAAAGGAGAAAAGAATATATTCACTTGTGTTGCACCATCTCAAATTAACCATGTAGCACTGGGTTTCATCCAAAAGGCAGTGAGCAATATCACTGCAGAAAGTTTGGAAACCTGGTTTTATAAACAGGATGTAGTGGAGACCCAGAAGAGCATTTGGGTCCTAATTTTACTTTTTTCTCAGCAGGTCATTTTAATATATAATTATTCTGAGCCTATTTTCCAAAAATGAGAGGTTAATTTTTACCTCATACATTTTGGTTAATTTTTGCCCCACCATTCCTGTCTCATATTAAAATATGAGCTAGCATATGCTTAGCTGTGATCTGAGCTTCCCATTATCCTTAAAGACAGAAAATTAAACCCTTAACTCCTCATTAATGTGTTGCTAAATCTGGCCTTAAACAGATAACCATCACATTTGGTCTTTCCACATTCCAAATGCAACACACACACACACACACACACACACACACACACACACACACACACACACACACACTGCATTTTATACAACTGCAGTTGATTACTATGAAGTTGCTTTTCAGTGCAATGAGAGAAAAATCTGAAACCAATTTCAAAACAAAGAGAAAAATTTATTCGTAAGTATATTTCCATTACCCAGTAAGCTCAGCTACAAGGTCAGGGCTACATTTTTGCCTCCAACTCAGCTTTCTTCATTTCCAGAGAATATTTTAGTTCCTCCATCGTTAAGCGATTTTCCTTTAATATGTTCTGAAAGTTTTCTATGGCTTTGCAAAAATTCTCCCTCTCCTGAAAGGCAAGCTAAAGAAAGAAAACAAAAACTTAAGTTACAACTTAAGAACTGAGACCCACTTGACCACTCTAAAGCCAATAAGTAGTGCTTAGGTCCCTGACTAGGAGCTCAGATCCAGGCAAACTTAAGAAGGGATCTGGGCCGTCAGCATGATGCTTAAATATCCTTCTTATTATCCTAGTAGCATATAGAAACTACAAGAGGTCTCTCAATGAAAATTGATCTGTTCAGTGTTTTTCAGAGCCCAGAAGAATTTTAGAGACTCTTCACAGCAATACTTCCAAGTGTAAGACATGAGTGTATGTGCCTTGCTCTATAAAGCACGTAAGACAGCAACTCCTACTCACATGGCCTCATGAGATATTTGTGATGATGGTGGCGAATGGGAACTTCCACATATAAAAATGTGAGTTAATGGTTAATGAGTCTCGTTCTACCATCAGGCCAAGACCAACCCATTCAGAAACACGCTAAATTGAACAGGTATTTACTAAGCATGTGCTAGGAGCAATGCCAGGCCCTGGAGATACAGCTGTGAACCAGACAGAGAAGAGTCTACTACTTACAAGTGCCTTCTCAGCCACCGTCTGGGGAGCCGGTTTGGGAGCTTCTGGGATCAACTCACAGACCGGAAGTGCACTGTTCCAATCCCCATCAATGCACTGCTGATCTGGCGTGCCCACTAAGCGGTATCTGAACAGAAATTAGAATGGCAACACCCTTAGACTTTCCACCTTCTGAACTGGATAACTAAGGTGGGTTTTGTGTCATTGTAGTTCAGTATTTCACAGTGCAATAGAGCCCACCTCTCCGCACCTGATCCATGATGTATGCTTAAGTTATCTCAGTATTACGAAACAGTAATAAAGTAAAACCACTCACCTGAGGGGTGGAGAGGACCCTAGTGGTGGGTCAACCCATACCAGCGTGGAGAAGTGAGAAAGTCTGAATATGTGTGTTTACACACACAGTTTTTGGATGGGGAGCGTGAGGAAAGAACCTTTTCATCATTCAGTAACTTTAAAAAAGCATCTGTCATCTATGCTCTAAAAAGGAGTAGAAAGCTAGAGAGAGCCTTCAAATAAATTTTAGTGAACAGTCTAAAAAGGAGCTGTGGCTTTTAATAAGAAAAACATGAGATTTGACTGTAAAGTTTGTTGGAGATATATAACGAGATTGAAATTCTAGTGAGGACACACGACCCTGAGTTAATAAGATTGAGATAAGGAAAAGAAAAGGCTAGATCTATAAGATGGGTGACCAGGCAATTTAAATTAAGGTTAGACTTTAATTAGGATATTCTAAGGATCAATCATTCTATTTCTGCACTTCCATATGTTCTGTATTTATCCAAGCTTCTTGTTCTGAGATTCTTTAAGAAAACACGTATTTTTAATATTTTGTCTTGTCATAACTAAGAGGAAAAAAGTGATACTTTAAATAGAATAAATAGGAGGATCAGTCTGTCTTTTAAAAGTTGGAGAGAGCTGGTAGTGGGCTAAAGCGGCTCTCAAAATCAGAATGAGCTCAGAACCCTGAAGCAGAAGGAAATCAGGGGACTAGTTTGAGACAGACTGGGTCATTCCCCGAAACGATGCTACTCGCCAGTGGACAAGAACTTGTATTTGAAAGCCTTCACATACTTACCTCTCTTCACAGTAATAAGTAATGGTAGATCCTGAGTCGAAATTGCTTCCTTTAAAGTAGCCATGAGCTGGATTCCCAGGAGGGCCACAGTCTCCTGAGAGACAAGAGTATAAGAGTGACAGTTGGAAAGTCCAGTTATGCTCCATTAACAGTGCCCCCTAAGTGCAACTATCTGTGCCAGCACACGCCATCTTCATAGCAGCTCATGTGAGACCTGGGGACATGTTCTCCATTTCCTTCTGGTCAAAACATCTTGATCACTGGGGAAGATGCCCTCTGCTAGCTCATCCTCTGAGCCATTAGTGATTTGTGTGTACTTTCTGATGGGCAGGAGCTCAAGGAAAGGAAGTTTAAGTTGTAGGGATGTTAATTGTCAGTGTACAAGAAAAGAAAAATTAGACCATAGGCAGAAGTGGAAGAAGTAACTCCCTGAGACAGGAGATAGACAGTGTGAGCACAAATGGAGGTTGACATCCCCTGGGGGACAGAGTTGCACAATATGAGAGCTTCAGAATAAAGGAAAACAGAGCTGGCAGCAATGAGGATGAGTCTATAAAATCGTGGAGAGAGTTGGATGAGGTACTAGGTATTGTGAGTTTGGGTTCTGGCTCTTGTAGTATCCACATGGCCTAAAGAATTCATTTCATCCCTCTCCTCTGCTGCCTCGCCTATAAAAGGAGCAGGTTAAATGATATTATCTCTAAGGTCCCTTTCAGCTCTGAGATTGAGTCTAAACATGTTGATCAAGATTAAAGGCTAAATCAAGAATAAACATAGGTGCATATTTATTGAAACATAAAGGTCTTCAAAACACATAATTGAGTATAAAAAGAGCAAAGCATAAAAAAGCATGTATAATATAATCCTATTTTTGTAAAACACAGTCATACAAATATATATGAATGAAGAAAGTCTTAAAATTATATATCAAAGTATTTTGTTATCCCTGGGTAGTAGGTTGGTAGGTAATTAATTGTTTTCTTCTATTTTTTAAATTTTCTACAACAGAGATGCATTACTTGAGCAATTAATAAATAATTGTTAAAAGATCAAACACTGAGTTCAAAAGCTGTATAGAGAAAAGGAAAAAGAATTTCAACAGTTGATTAAACAACTCAATTTGGACAGAGTTTCTCCGGTGACCTTTAATAATATACAGTTTTGAACTGAAAGAGATGATGTGGATCCTGGGTCTAAACAGAAAAGAATCCACTTTATTCAGAGACCGAGGGAGCTTCCTCCGGAATTGGGCATTGGGCAATGAACTAAAACAAAATGACAGAGATCCTGTATTTTGGAGCTAAGATAGGAACTGCCTGAATTAAAGGAGAGTAAAATAGAAAAAGCCCCCAAAATATAAATATTTTAAACGAGTGTCAAGCTAATGATGTAAATGATTTTATATGCTTGTAGTTTAACAGCATCTAGTATAAATGTATGTTTTAAGTAACCCCAAACTCCTAAATAAGAATATATACAGTTTCTGCTTTTAAGCTGCCTATTTATTACTTTAATAACTACTGCCAAAATACATCCAAAGAGTCATATCATTTTCTTTTGCTGACATAAATGGCTGGTCCCTCATATATTGAATGATATTAGATGATATCAATTTTTGAGCTAATCTGATCAGTAAAAACTTGGTATCTAACTTTATCTATTTCAGTACTTATTAGTAATGTTTAATAGTCATAAGTTTGAGAAATATAAATGCTGTTTGTGACTAATTTTGGAATTGCCTATCCTTAAAATCTTCTTACAAAACTAAATACATTCTTATTTTACTATTAAAATTTATTGGGGGGTGACAATGGTCAACAAAACTGCATAGGTTCAAGTGTATAATTCTATAATACATCATCTATATATTGCATTATGTTCTCACCACCCAGAGTCAGTTCTCCTTCCATCACCATATATTTGAACCCCTTTACCCTCTTACCATATGATCCAGCAATTGTGCTCCTTAGTATTTAACCAAAGGAGTTGAAAATTTATGTCCACACAAAACCTGCACACAATGTCTGCAGCAGCTTTATTCATAATTACCAAAACTTGGAAACAACCAAGATGTCCTTCAGAGGTGAATGGATACACTGTGGTGCATCCAGAAGTTAAATACTATTCAGCGATAAAAAGAAATGAGCTATCAAGCCATGGAAAGACATGGAGGAACATTAAATACATGTTACTAAATGAAAGAAGCCAGTCTGGAAAGGCTGCCTACTGTATGATTCCAGCTACAGGACAGCCTGAAAAAGGCAAAACTATGGAAACAATAAAAATATCAGTGATTGAGAGGAATGAAGGAAGTAGAGAGATGAATAAGCAGAGTACTGGGTATTTTTAGGGCAGTGAAGATACTCTATGTATGATATATGGATACATGTCATTATACATTTGTCCAAACCCATGGAATGTACAGCACCAAGAGTGAGCCCTAAGGTAAACTATGGACTTTGGGTGATTATGATGTGTCCCATGTAGGTTCATCCTTGGTAACAAATGTACCACTCTGCTGAGTGATATTGATAATGGGGAGGCTTTGGGGGGTGGGGGCAGGACAATCTCTGTACCTTCCTCTCAGTTTTATTATAAAACTAAAACTGCTCTTTCTGGGTGGTGAACACACAATGTGATGTATAGATGATGCATTACAGAATTGTACACTTGAAATCTATGTAACTTTGCTAACAATTGTCACCCCAATAAACTTTAATTAAAAAAAAAGAGAGAAAGAAGAAAAAAAGTCTTTAAATAAATTTGCAATGTTAAATATATACTTTTCCAAATGATATTTTAAAATTAATTTTTTGTTTCATAATTTTGAATTTAAAATTCTAATTAGGATTGCATTCTAATACCAAGTTTGCCATCCAGAATAATGGCATATCTTTTCTTTTATTCAAATTTTTATGTAGGTCTTATGAAAGGAATTATTTTTGCATTTCAATATTCACTTAACAATTATGACTAAAAAGTAAAACTATTGATTTTTCAGTATTTATTTTGTATTTAAGAATAAAGTTTTTAATGGAATTTCTTGTATCTTTTAAGTATACTTTGCAAATAATGATATCCTGCAAGTCAGCAATCATCCTAGGAGTCTATACTATAGAAATAAAAGTATATACATAAAGATATGTGTGTGTGTGTGTGTGTGTATGTGTGTGTCTGTGTATATAGATGTATATATGGTAACATTTGTTTCAGCATTGATTGTAATAGTAAAAATATGGAAGTAAAATAAACATTCATCAATATGAGAGATATGGAATAAGGCATAGCATATCCACATGCAGTTATTAAAAAGCAGAAGATAGAGCTATACATACTGATCTGAAAAAGATTCCCATGTATATTGTTATATGAAAAAAACAATTAAAAAAATGTATAGCAAAGTCCCATTTTTGTAGGTATATATGTGTGTCGATAAGTTTGTGCATTTGCTTTTTTTAAATGTTTGCATAAACATAAGGAAAAGCCAGGAAATAAACACGTCTAACTAATTACCTCTGAGAGCTGTGAATTGTAGTGGTAGGAGATACTTTCAACTCTTATTTTATATAATTTTGCAATGAATGAGTTATGACCTTTTTTTCCTGTTTTTGTGTATTTTTCAAATAAAACCTTTGTCACTATCTTGAAATTAAAAAAAAAAAAAAGTTGGATGCCCCAAACTACCCTGTATTGGACCTAGTAGGGCAGAAATGCTACTTGAGAAAAGAAAAAAAGTGTTGTTCACTGTTTGAATGCTGTTCATGTCATTGGAAAATATCATCTAAGTTGAAATTAGGCTCTGCGTGCTCCACTTTATTTCGTGGCTGCCTGATAGATTCTAAGCCCTTCCCAGATCAAAATAGAGGAAAGCATCACAGGGATGTGGTGAATGCCTAGGATGTCACTGCTGATCAGTACCTTTGGGATTTGTACTTGTTTCTCATGTACTTACTGCTTTTGCAGATGGGAAGGGGAGGCACCCAGGTGTGGTTCTCTAGGCACTGGCTCCAGCTGCTGCCCTTGAGGACGTAGTGCTCATTGCACTTAAACGTGATTTTGTCACTCACATTCACAGGCCCTGAGGAACTGAACTCACCATTCACCAGCACAGGGTCAGGACAGTGGCCCACTGAAGAAGAAAGAGGCAGTCATCTGAACGGGCCACGCGGAAGCCCAACGCAGCAAAGCCTCCTCAGGCTTCATTGAGAAAATGGGAAACTAGAACCAAACCTCACTTTTTTTTAACAGGAATTGGTACATGGAACCAAACCATATCAATGCAGGATGAGAAAAGACTGGGTTGGCCTAAGTGTGGTAGAAAAGGTCTTGGTCATACACAAAAGTGACAATCGGCATTTGAACTTACTAAAAGTAATTAAGCATGAAACTGGAAATTACCAATAGTATATTCATCATCCTGCTATGTTAAGCATTGCTCACAATTCTTGAGCCTATGTTTGATGCAAGTGTTTCCTTCCCTTTCATCCAGCCAAATATTAATATATACATTACTCATCACTTTTTACTTTGTTTGGTTTTTCACAGGTAGAAAAACAGGAGAGAATGCAGAGGGATGTGAATTTGGTCATATGAGTAAAAGATAAGCATGCTGGTGTGCTTTATTCCAGGTATAAAGGAGAACTAATCCGACTAATTATTCTCCATCTCTATAGACACCATAAATGAATTTTGTGAACTTGAGCAAATCACTTAGATCTCAGTTATCACATTTGTGAATTGAGAACATAAATATTTCCCAGTTCAAAAGTTATATGGGCGGGAGGGGGCGGGGAGGGTGGCTGAGTGGCTCGTTGGTTAAGAGTTGGCTTGGGAGCATGAGCTCTGAGCAGCAGGGCCACTGATTCAGATCCCACATGGGCCAGGGACGCTGAGCCCTCTACAGCTAAGATGGTGAACAACAGCTCGACCTGCAGCTGGGCTCCCATGAGTCGCTGGCGACGGCAGAGGCTGCTGCAGTGGGCTGCCGTGAGCTACCGTGAGTGGCTGGCAGCCAGCATGAACAGCCGCCCAATGACCTGCAACAGATCTGTCTCAGCTGGGAAGAGCGCAATGATCACAATACCAACATAGGCTGATGAAAGCAACGTCCTCCACAACTAGACTGAAGAACAAAAGGACAGCACCTTGTCTGTTCCCCTTCCCTGATTCCCCAATGCTGTTCCCTCCCCCCCAATTCCCCAATAAAATCTTAAAAAAAAAAAAGTTATATGACGGGGCCGGCCGAGTGGCTCAGTTAGTTAAGAGTGCGAGCTCTGAGCAACAGGGCTGCCACTTCAATTCCCACCTGGGCCAGTGAGCTGTGCCTGAGTTGAGCTGTCGCTGAGCCAGGATGGCTTAGCTGGTGAAAGCATGTGCTCCTGACAACAAGGTTGCCAGTTCAACTCCCACATGGGATGGTGGACTATGCCCACCCACAACTAAGATTGAACATGGCACCTTGAGTTGGGCTGCCCTGAGCTGCTGACAGGCAGTTGGATGGCTTAGTGGTTAGAACGTGTGCTCTTAGCAACAAGATTGCTGGTTCAACTCCCACATGGGATGGTGGGCTATGCCCACCTGCAACTAAGATTGAACATGGCACCTTGAGCTGAGTGGCCATGAGCTGCTAGGCAGCCAGATGGCAACTGGACTTGGAGCTGAGCTAGCTGTGCCTTCCACAACTAAGATTGAAGGACAGCAACTTGGCTGTTCCCCTTTTCCAATTCCCCAACACTGTTCTGCTTCCCCACTGCCCCAATAAAATCTTTATAAAAAAAAAGTTATATGATGAATGAAATAAAATATGATATACTGACTTCAAAATAATAATGCAAAGCAGAATTGTAGATGAAAAAAGATTAGTCATGTGTTAATGATTGTTGAAGCTGGGTGATAAGTATATATAAGTTTATTTTACTCATCTGTCATTTGCATAAATTTAAATTTATCAATATATAAAATTTAAAGCAGTATGATAGTAAACAAATTGCAGTAAAAAAAGAGTCATTTTAATATATGGTAGAAATTCTTTCCTTCTTGTAGGGGTGATTGAGTCTATTAAGAGCTGATCATGTACCATCTACAAGAAGTTCCATCACTAGAGTGCTTTAAAAATGGATTCCTAGAAGTTGAGAATTTTGTTTCTTATAACGTTTTAACATGGCCTGCTGAGGATAGGATGTGAAAGAATGCAGTGGGATGACAAGACGGACGAAGAAGCAAAAAGATCAAACTTACAGCGGCACTTGGGAGGGGGGGCATTCCACTCCTTCGAGGCATTGCAAAAAAGGTTCCTCTCTCCTACTAGATGGTAGCCCTGAAGACAAACATAAGTCCCCAGAATTTGTCCTTTAGATTCCTTTGCAACAAATATGCTATTGTCCACTGGGAGAGGTTCTGGACAGCTCTGTGCTGCAAGGAAAAAGGAAACAGACTCACTTGGCATTTTATGTGCTGTGTGGAACCCTTATTAGATTCCCCCATCCGACTTCCTTTTTGCTGGATTGATTCTGATTCCTTGTACTCATTCATGTCCATGTACACACACCCACACCCCCTCCCTACCCAAGGATTCCCAAAGATTTATTTTCAAAAGGAATTTTACTCAAATTCAGCCATAAGTCATTCACTCCCAAAGAAAAAATTTCCTTTCCAAATGGCAACCCTGGGGTTTATAAGACCACTCAGATTTTAAAACAGATACTGTGTTTGCTCCTAAAACAGAAGAGGGGAGTAAACATGTAAGTAAGTAAACCCATTTCACTGAGCAGAATAGTCATTAAATGTTTACTAAGATCCTGTGGTATACAGAGTATTAGGCCAAGTAATTTGAGATTTTTCAACAAAGCAAATACATTTCATTGACCTAAATTTCATTAGAACTCTAGACAGATGCCTGATGACCCACAAACTGATATCAAGTGCCTCATAAACTGAGCTTAAGAAAAGCATACGTACCATCTGAACCAGAAATCAGCCACACAAGCACAAGATAGCACACAAACCGAAAAAACATCTTGTGATCAATTGCTTGACCCAGACTGGAATTAACCCAACCCAGACACCTGATTTGGGTCAAAATAGATCTTCTAACACCGTTGAAGATGAGACCAACCACCTCCTCTTAGAGAACGCGTTGTATTGATTCCCCTTCCCTGGAAAGAATTAAAAAAAACAAAAAACCTATAACAGGAAATAAGAACAGTAAGGAAGTTGGCACAGGGAGGGACTGTGCAAAAACACAAAGGGGTGGTAAAAGAGCTGCCAGTTTTAAAACTCAGTTTCAGAAATTGCTCAAGTTCTGTTCATGCGAACCCAGTTGACCAATTCCTTTGAACTGCAGGCTCATTTTTTCACAACACACTTGGCCAAACATTCTTGCCATGACCTTCACTTCTGTCAATATTTGCCAGTGTTTATAGTACACTTTCTGTAACTCTCTTCAGCTTTGTGGCCACCCACAATGGAAGGGGTGCCAACCCCTGGTGCTTTTCCCAAGTGAAACCCAACTCTGGGGGCTACCTCATCCCCCTTTCTCAAATACCAATATCCTAAGGCTGTGAAGATGAAAGCTCAGGGAAGTCAACTAAACTTACCTGTCTCTGACCTGCCAGATTTATGGCTTCCCAGCAAGAACCTGGTCCAAATTGATTCCAAACCTGAGAAGAACTCGAAAGTCCTGCAGCAACACATTGTCCTCATCAGCCAGGCCTGCAGCAGACTTGCCATTCTGCAGACCCTCCTGGGGCTGCAGTTGGCCTGAGTCTAGAGTCAACCAAATGAACTAAGAGAGAGAGATGAGGGGAATGCTTTGGTCTCAGGAATTAAAGGATGTAAAATTGCTTTGGGGCTCTCATAGCTTCTTGCTCATGACTATTTTAACAAGTAGCTGGCTACCCATGCTCCAATTATAAAATTGGGGTAAAATTTCCATAAAATTGTAGGTGTAAAAAATAATAAACATAAAGCACCATAATAAATATAAAGCAAAAGGATACAGCAAGGTCTCAAATGTTCTTCTCTTCCCCACCCATTATCATTACTTTGTAATGACTCGTTCATGTCTTTCTCCCACTAGACTGCTGATAACTCTAGGACAGGGTGTGCTTCATGTGTGTTTGCGTTCCTATCCTCTGCACTACAGAATGCAAAGCAGAATTGTCCGCTAAATGAATAAAAACAATGCAGCATACGTGAAAAGAACACACTCATCCAGAAACTCTACCACAGCCTCTTAAATCCACACTGATAATTTATCATTTATTGTATACTGCCTTTATGGGTTTTCCATATCCTATCTTCGTTCATCTAATCCATGAGCTCAGATGAGTAGTAGACTTGTTGGGTTTATTGCTTTGCGTAGAGGTGTGTAAATGTCTAATCACTATGTTGTTTTGTACACATGACACTAATAAAAACAATTCATCTTTAAAAAATACGTGAGCTTCTAGAGTGCAAGCACCTTTTAAATTATAATTTTCAAAAAGTTAATCACATGACACATGTAAATATAAAATGAGTGTGTCAAAGATTTTACTCAACTAATTAATTAGTGAGGGGACCATTAAGATGCTATAACTAGTTCAAAGAAGAACTTCTGGAATAGAGAACAGAGATTTATATAGTCAGTCAGTCAAAGGCATTCTGAACTGACTTTTCTAACAGATGAAAGCTGGTAAATATCATACAGGGCAACAAACTGTAATATTTGGAATCAGCTTTTCTAATTGATAGAAATTAATTGAATCTACTAGATAAAATTAATTTGCTGTGATCAGAATCATTTGCACTGTTCTCAGAAAAGAATCATTTGCATTTCTATTCACTTTCTACAAATTAACTTCTATACTTACAGAGTTGCAAACAACAAAACCTAGTTAATAGAAAATCAGTCAAAATTATACACCCCTATGGAATAGATAATCCCCAGAGAGAGTCTGCTAGACAATGCTCAGCAATCCATTAAAAAATTTCTCCAGTGATCTCTTTTCTTAACACGCCACATATTCAACTTACTTTTTGAGGGATACATGTTTCTCTCTATCTAATGTACATATGTTTGTACAACAAATGATTTTTAAAAGTGAAGAAAAAGTTTGCTTCTTCCTACATAAATATGGGCATAAAATAGATCACCATTATAGGACATAATTGCAAATAATTCTTCACCTCAATGATCTATTTCAGATTCAGAATTATTAGGACTTTAAAAAGGTACTATGTGGCTTATAATATTGTTTTACTAATATTTCTCCATGAAATGCAAAAATACACTAAGCGGGATATATAGAGACTAAATACCCTCACAAAATTCAGGTCAGGTTTTATTGTCAAATTAAATAGAAGAAAACTTTGTTTTCAAAGCTTTTTTTTTCTTTCTTTAAAAGATTTTTATTCAAATACAACTAACATACAATATTGTTTTAGTTTCAGGTATACATCATAGTTATTCAACAGTACCTACCTGGCACTATACATAGTTATTATCATATTACTGATTACATTCCCTATGCTAAAGAAGTGATCACCATGATAAGTCCAGCAACCATCTGACACTGTACCACACTATCACAATATTATAGACTATATTCCCCATGCTGTACATTACATCCCCAAGACTTACTTGTTTTATACCTGGAACTTTGAATCTCTTATTCCCCTTTATCTTTTCCCCCTTTTAAAAATTTTTCAATTACAGTTGATATTCAATATTATTTTATAATAATTTCAGGTGTACAGCATGGAGGCTAGACATTTATATGATTTATGAAGTGGTCCCCCTGACTAGTACCCACCTGACACTATACATAGTCATTACCATATTATTGATTATATTCCGTATGCTTTACATTACATTCCCAATTTGTATTTCTTAATCCCTTCATCTTTTTCACCCTGCCCTGAACCCTCTCCCATCTATCACCCTGATAGATCTAGTACACATCTGATACCATACATAGTTATTACAATAGTATTGACTATATTCCGTTTGCTATACCCTACATCCCCATGACTACTGTGTAACAACCAATTTGTATTTATAATCCCTTCCCCTTTTTCACCTACCTGAACTACCCTTCCATCTGGTGACCATCAAAATATTCCCTGTATCTATGATTTTGTTTCTGTTTTGTTTGTTTATATTGTTCTTTAGATTCCACTCAAGGGTGAAAACATATGACATTTGTCTTTTGCTCAGCACAATACCCTCTAGGTCCATCCATATTGTCACAGATGGCAAGATTTCATTCTCTTTTTAATGCTGAGTAATATTCCATTGTATATATATTTTTTTTTAAAGATTTTTTTATTGGGGAATTGGGGGGATGGGAACAGTGCTGGGGAATTGGGGAAAGGGGAACAGACAAGTTGCTGTCGTTTTGTTCTTCAGTCTAGTTGTGGAGGATGTTGCTTCACTGGCCCAAGTTGGCACCATCATTGCGCTCTTCCAGGGTGAGGCAGATCAGTCGCCGGCTTCTGGACGGCCGCTCACTGCGGCTGCTGGCCGCTCATGCTGGCTGCTGGCCACACACGGTAGCCCATGGCAACCCACTGCCACAGGGACTGCAGCCTACACCATCGCCGGCGACTCATGGCAGCCCAGCTCCAGGTTGAGCTGTTGTTCAGCGTCTTAGCTGTGGAGGGCAGTATCACTGGCCCTCATATGTGGGATCTGAACCGGGGCCCTCTGGCATCCCAAGCGAGCCCCCAACCATCGCGCCACTCGGCCGGCCCTCCATTGTATATTTGTACCACCTCTTCTTTATCCCTTCAGGAACACGCACGTTGGCTTCATATCTTGGCTATTGCAAATAATGCTGCAATGAACATATGGATGAGCATGTCCATGTCCCCTCAAAGTAGCATTTGTTTTTTTTCAGATAAATACCTAGAAGTGGAGTTCCATGGTTCTTCTTTTTCTCTTGTTATGGTCTTTTTTAAAAGTCTATTTTGCCTGGTATAAGTATTGCTACCCCAGCTTTTTGCTTGTTTTCATTTTCATGAAATATCTTTTTCCATTTTGTACTTTCAGTGTGTGTGTGCCTTTTGATCTGAAGTGAGTCTCTTGTAGGCAGCATACATAAGGGTGTTGTTTTCTTATCCATTCAGCCCCCCTTATCTTTTGATTAGAGCATTTAATTCATTTACACTTAATTACTGATAGATACGTAGTTATTGACATTGTTATTTATACTTTTATCTTTTTTTTTGTCTTAAAGAAGTCCCTCAATGTTCAACATCACTAATCATCAGAGAAATGCAAATAAAAACCACAATGAGATATCACCTCACACCAGTTGGAATTGCCATCATCAACAAGACAAATAATAACAAGTGTTGGAGAGGCTGTGGAGAAAAAGGAACCCTCATACACTGTTGGTGAGAATGGAGACGCACATACAGTGGCCACCTGCATCTGCAAGGCAGGAACGGGAGGGATTCAACAAAGAAACAATGGTTTTGCCAGCTCCTTCATCCTGGAGAAAGCTGCCCCTCCAGTCCTTGTTCTGAGGCCAGACAACTCAGTTCCCCCCCCCCAATATGTCCCTGTCACCTCTCCTGCTGTGGCCCCAGTGCTGGAGCTCAGAACCAGGGATTCCATCAGTAAGTCCAGCGTGTGGTCCCTTAATGAGGAGCACCTGGGAGTCCAGACATCCTGGGTCTCACTCAGCCACAATCTCTGCTGGTTTTCACAATCAGAAATTATGGGGATTTCTCTCCCTGGTACTAGAACCCTGGGTTGGGACCCCTTGCTCCTCCAAGGGAAACCCCCACAGACAAGGTATCCCTTCTGATTTTTAATGGTCACACGTGGACATGGGACCAGCCTGTTCTAAGTCCCTGCACCTCCTGCCAGTCTCAAGGAGGCCTCTTTTGTATGGCTTTAGTTGTAGTGCTTTGGTTCAGCAAGATTTCAGACAATTCTCAATGATGGTTGTTTTGTAATTGAGTTGTAATTTTGATGTAGTCATGAGACAAGGTAAGCACAGCATTTACCTACTTCACCATCTTAATCAGCCAAAGCTATTTAGATTTTGGAATTACATATAAGGGATTATAGGTTTCATTATGAGTGTTTAAGGTTGGATAAATTAATAAACAAACATTTACAGGTTTTTCTGGACTTTTGAACATTAGGAACAATTTGATCTAATCCAGATTGTTTTTTGGAGAACTGGGATAATAGGTCAATTACAGAAGTTGTACTCAGACTGGTTTGATTTCTTTACAAAGGGACGGGCAGATCATAATTAGTGGAAGAGATCAGAAGGTGAAGGAGGAGGGGTAGAACTACAAAAGTCAGCAA